CTTTCCCCAGGTGGGAATAAAATGGGAGTGTGCAGGTGGGCCAGATGCTGCAGTGACCAGGTTGCTGATGTGCTGTACAGTTGTGAACAGTGGTTCTGCTTGACTGAGGGGCTGGGAAAGGCCAAGTAGAGCAGAGCACCATAGTGCTGCCCCTTCTTGCTGTTCTCCAGATACCTCAGAAATCTTAAACAGAAGGAAACTTCTTGAGAAAACCCACTGCTTTCCAAAAAGAAAAAGAACAGAGAAAATGTGTAGGAATTTTAGTCCTTATTCTAAGGCATCTGTAAATTTCTTTTGAGTTCTGCAAATGCAAAAACTAGGCGTGGGGTGGGAGCACTCTGACTGCATCTTCCAAGAAGCTGGAACCAAGCAATAAAAAAGAAAATTTTCTTTGGGCTGTCTGGAATAGTAATGTCTTCTCTTACAGCTGTTTTTCAGCTGGGGGAAAGCTGTTAAGGAATTGAACTGACCTGCTTTTTCAGATGCACTCAGGCAAGACTGTGTTCCTGATCCTTAGATCTAAAGGAGATTCTTTGCAAAAATCAGCTGTGGTGACTTCTCTAAGAGCTGATCTAAGCCATCTGCTTGAAGTGTGAAGCATATTGGTTTTATAACTGAGATATTATGTTACAAAATTTTTGCAGTTATGCCTGGATTCGTTGCTGTAGAAAAAGGCCTTATTTTGATCATTAGCAATGAACTTTCTCCCCAGACTAGGGGGCTTCTGTTTGCTGGTGTTTAATTAAGCTGGACCATAGTGCCCAAATAAATAAGTCCATATTGTGTTGTAGTCTCAGGGAGTCTGTTGCTTTGTGTGGGGGTGATTCTTGGGGGGTTTTTGTTGTGTTGTTTTTTTTTAACGTTTCCCATGGCTGATCTGGAGAGCATGCTCTTTTCCCTCTCACCCAGTTCTTCTCACCTTCACCATTTGCTCTTGCTGTATGTTTTCATTCATGTAGACAAATTGTTCCAGCATGTTTGTTATGTGTACGTGACTCGGGCACAGCAGGGCATGCAGCACTTGGGCTACCTTTGCCAAAGATGCTTGGCTTGGGTGGCCTGGTACGACTGCCCTGAGGTTTTTTGTATGTGAGGGCATCTCTGTTTGCTCCTCTGAACCTTGCTCAGGTTACAGTACCTGCCTCGAGTCTCCTTCCCTAGGCCAGAATAAAACCATCTCTGGTTGGGAGGCAGATGAGTGAGGATACAGCAATGTGACCTTAGTAGTTGGCATTCAAGGAAGAGAGGAAGACCTTCAAGATGGGTCGTGTTATTTTAGCATTCTGTCTGTGTTGCAGAGCCAGGTGGCATCGTGGTGGCCCAGGAAGCATGCAACTGTGGTGCTGGAGGCCCTGAAGACAGCCTGGCTTGCAGGGAGGAATGCTACGGTGGGCAGTGCATTTGGAAGGTGGGCCCCGGAGAGTGAACCACGCGGCTGTGGCTGTTGGGCACAAGGTCTATTCCTTTGGTGGATATTGTTCTGGAGAAGACTATGAGACTCTGCGACAGATTGATGTCCATGTTTTTAATGCAGGTAAATGTGTCCTGTGGTGCACAGAAGACTGGCTTGCTGGGCTTGGTTATTAGTTTTCTTGCCTGCTGCTGTTTAACGTGTTACACCCTAAAAGGCTGGCTGGCTCCGATCTCCAGAAAAGTTACCAGTCTAGGTGGGAGCCTCTTGCCTTGGGCAGCCCTGTGTTTTCAGCTTCAGTACACTGCTTCAGTACCCTGCTTGGATAAAGACTCTGGGAGTAACCACATAGCCAATGGCATGTTTTGTTCTCATTCTCTGTCAACACTGACTTAACTAGGTGCAAAGAGGCAGTGTTTAGCTTGGTTCCTGTCCCCCATCCAGTTTGCAGCATGGCCAAGCTCAGCTGCCCCCTGTGGAAGTGATAGAGGTGGGAGCTAGTACACTCAGTTAAGTTTCCAGGTTTAGACTCCTGTGCTGTTTCTCTGTGGGGGCAGCTGCCAGCATGATGGATTCAATAGGGATATGTGGATAGAACGGAGACCTGCCTTTTTTGGTAGCAGCTATCATGCAGATTGACAATGTGGCTTAGCAAAGCAACTGGAGCTGGAGCCATTTGTGTAGGGTAGCCTGTATCTGTCAGAAGGTTGAGCTGAAGCTGTGACTGTGCTGGGAGAGGCTGTATTTCTTCATTCAGTGCTCTTTGAACTGAAGAGGTTACTGAACTGGTCCATGAAGTATTTTCCTATAATTAGACAGGTGACTGAAAAACTGCTCAGAGTCTTGGATGGTTCCAGCTGAACAGAGAGAAGTTTTGTAGACTGGACAGCATGCTGAATGCTCTCCTTACACACAGGTGCCTTGTAGACAAAACTAGTTTGTATGTAAGACTCAATGAGCACACTCCTCTGAATCTGACTGTGGAGAAGTCTGATCTATGCAGTGGTGGATAAAGGCATTGGTTACACAGGGCTGCTAAGGTGACCTGCTCACAGTGTAGAGAGGAGTGTCGCTCAGGATCTTGTGAACAAAGACATTAATCTCTACCCGTTCAGACTGGGCTCCAACAGTCAAGACAGTTGAATATTGTAGCTTGTAAAACATGCCAGTGGAGCACCATTGTTATGGTGGAAGCATAATTACTGTGCCCAAAGGAATGCTCTTGCATTGTCTTCCCTTCTTACCCCTCTCAAATATTAAAGGGTGATGCTGCTGCAGCCACCATGTGAGAGTTGATACTGGCTTCCCAAGGCCTTGCTCAGTTATTATTGCCAGGTTCCAGTGCTAAAGCTAAGATAGCAGATTTTGAATTATTTCTTTCAATCTTCCAACAAGGAACCCTGCATTTTAGGTAGGGAACATGCCATCTAGCTTTAGTTTAGCATTGGTTGTGCTTCCTCAGTGTCCTTTCTGCCTCTGGGGTGGATGCTCCCTTTTTAATATGCCTGACTGTTTCCGTTAGTATTTCAGGAGTTATTCCACTATATTTTGTGTTATATGTGTGGTGGGTGTCTGGGTGCTGTTATATAATGGCCATGTAACAAGTAGTGTCTGTATTCTTTAATCTCTGCACTTACTCTTTTTTTCTTTCTCTATTTTTTATTTTGTCTGTGTGGGTTTGCTGTACCTTCACTCACAGTCTAGGATGAGCCAGAGTAGAAACCTCTTCAGCGTAACTGATGCAGAATACAGCCTGTTTCTGTAGAGAGTCCTCAGCTCCTCCAGTGCTTGCTGTAGTCTCCCCTGTGACACGGGTCTGTGGAATGCTTCCTGTGCTTCCCTGTCTCTTAACTAGCTATTACTTGGGGTCAGACACAGCTTTGTCATGCTTACTAGACTGCTTCTGCATCTTGTCATAGGGGGGAAAAAGATATGCAGGATGGGTTGTGAGACTGTGAGAACATGTGGTGGGCTTAGCATTTGACTTGGGCTCAAACTTGTGCTTTCAGTGTCTCTGCGCTGGATCAAGCTGCCTCCAGTGTGGACAAACAGCCGAGACCACGTGAGAGAGGTGCCCTACATGAGGTATGGGCACTCAGCAGTGCTCATAGATGACACCGTCTACATATGGGGGGGTCGCAACGACACTGAGGGAGCCTGCAACGTGCTCTATGCCTTTGATGTCAGTAAGTTCTAGCTTCTCAGTCTTCCTTGTCACAACTGTTCTTGATGAGACCTTCTCTTTGGCCCACAACATTGCTCCCTAACTTGTTTTCTTGTCTGTTAGGCTCTCTACAAAGTGACAATCTGAAGGAAAAGGTGCAAATGAGCAGCTGGTGTCACTGGCTGTTTCAGCAGGTTTAGAAGGGCAGTAGGGTGGGCAGTGTGTCTGCATACTTGACTTTCTGTAAAAAAACTTTGACCAGAGACTACTGAGTTTGTCTAATAGTCATACTGGGTTTAATTTTTCAATCAGCTGTGTATGCTCTCTTTCATGGTAGCTACAACTGAAACACTTTCTGCATAATGTATTATTCTGTAACTGTGGCTGCAGGTTGTAGTGAGAAGGGTCTAGAGCTCTCCAGAATTATGGTTCCTCTCCAGGGTGATTCTTCTTTCTGAAAGCATGAAGCAGAGTCAGGAATAAAACACAGAAGTAGTCAGGGACAGGATGGCAGCATAAGGGAAGGCTGAGTCATGTTAGATAAACCTGAAAGATAAACTCTTTGAGTGTTTTGGTTGGCTTCCTCATAGTGCTGCTGGAGCACATGGGGAGAACAGAAACCATCAGGAACGAGATGAATGGGAGTGTCAGGAGAGCAAGGGAGTACATCTGGATTCTGGAGGCAAGTCCTTCTGATTACTGACCAGCAAGTGGTTTGCTGGACTTGCAAGGAAACTGCTTTCTCTAGTGCTTGGTCATGGGTTCCCTTCTTCAGCAGAAAATGTCTCACAGCTTGGAGCTGCTCTCTGGGCACAGGGTTTCCCCATTCCTCTGACATATGCAGCGGGGAAGCCACCAGTAAACCTCTGCCTACACAGAGGCCTTGTAATGGGAGCTGCCTGGTCTCCTTGCCAACTTCAGCACTTCAGCATTAAGTGAAAATTAGCAGCGAGGCCAGACTTCAATCCTGGTCTGAACCCTCTGCAGCTGTCTGTATCTGCTGTGCCTGTCCCCTGCCAATCCTGGAAAGTGAGGCTGGCAGTCACAGTTCTGCAAGTCCCACTCTAGGAATCACATTAGGCTGGATAAAGCCCTGTCTGACTGCAGTTTTGTCCCCTGGGCTGCCAAGCAGATTGCAAGTCCAGGTCTTTTCCCTCTTTAATTTGACATGTTGCACTTGGGTGAGCTCTTGTTGCTACTGTGTAACTGAGCTTAGAAGCATCCCCAGGAAGGAAAATAATTTGATAGCTGCTGCAGCTTTCTCAGTAGAGGCTGTGCAGGATTCTTTTGACCTTGCAAGCCCCTTTGTCTGTTTCCAGCTGTAAACTAGGTGGGTAGCTGTGGCCACAGGCCAAGTTCAGAGTAGTTATCCTTGTGAAGAGTATTGCTTTTGCTCCAAGGTTACCACTTCCTGAAATAAGCACTGCTCTTGGCATCTTGTAGCAGTTAAGGAGGGTGGGTGGAATGTCTCCTGCTGCCTTGAGGCTTATCTGTGCCTCTCTAGGCTCCTGGGACAGGTGCCTGTTAGTACTTGGCAGCAAGTCACTGGCTTGGCTCCATGTTGATTTGGTATGGAGAGCAGCTCTGGCTGGATTAGAGTGCTCCTCTAAATTAAGCCAACCCCTGGAGCATGTAGGGTAAGGGGCAGAATCTAGTTGGTGCAGGCTCATGGGGAGCAATGTGAAGGGAATTGTGAAGGGTGGAGAGTGGGGAAGGCTCCCCTCGAAGAGAGGTTAAGCAGTTAACAAGAGGAGCAGATAAGATAGGAAGGGCTGTGCTACAGAGGTGGGGATATGCACAGTAGCTCTGTTGATGTGGTGAGCTTAAGTGACTTCTGCCTGGATTTGAGAGCTGTTTTTCCTCAGTAAATTAGCCAGCATCTCCACACCCTGAGGTCGGTTGGGCTACTTAGCATCATTGCTTCATTTTAGTTGCAACTGTAAATGCAGAGTTGAGGAGTGACTGACAAATAGTCTTTGCAAGAGACTGAATACAAATAACATTGCTCAAGCAGTGTTGTACTACTCACTTGAAATGTGACCTGTTTGTCAGGTCAGGCAGAGTCAGCAGTCATGCCGAGGATCTGAGACCTCTGTCACCATTCCCTTCTGTGGAGGCTCAAGCAGGTATATAACCCTGCCTGAAGAAGCCTGCAGCCTCTCCAGAGAACTGGGTGCTGTGTGTGAAGAGAAAAGGATTTCTGTATTAGAACTGGAGAACAGTAGTAAAGAGCAATCCTATCCCAACGTCTACTGTATTTTTAATTAGTACTGCCTCCTGTTTTGTTGCAGACACACACAAGTGGTTCACACCAAAGGTGTCTGGAATGGTCCCAGGAGCAAGGGATGGGCACTCAGCTTGTGTCCTGGCAAAAAGCATGTTTATTTTTGGAGGCTACGAACAGCTGGTGAGTTAGTCTCTGTAACTGTTATTTGTCTATCCCTTGGGGAAGAGGGTGTTCCTATCCAGGACACTGGTAGAGGCAGGATACAGGGGTATATTTGTATGCATAATTGCTTTTGTTTTATAACTCAGTAAAGTTAAGGCATTAATTACCCAAGTTACACTAATTGTTTTGAAGAGAAAATGGTTGGGAAAGTGGGCCTAAAAAAATATTGGTTTTCTTTGTTTCTTCCCCAAAACACATAGATATAGAGGTAAGCCCAAATATTTTCATATATAATTTTTTTCTGGCTCATTTCTCAGCTAAATTTAGATAGATAAATACACAACATTTTTAGTATTTTAAAATATATATTGGCGTACATGTATTTTAAATTGGCTGAGAAATGAGCCACAAAAACCACTTTCCAATGTCTGCAGTGTAGGTGTGAGATTTTGTCCTTAATCTGGTGCACACTCCCTATATTCTGTACCTGTTCTCACTTCTTGCTGATCCACTCCAGCAAACAATGACTTGCCCTCCCCTGAAGTATAACTTGAGCCAAAGATCATCCTTCACTAGCTGTCAGTGTGCCTAATGCTCCTTTGAGCAAATCTTTATTTGCTCAAGCCTTCACTCCAGCCTATCACCAGGTTCTAGAAAAGCTGGGCAAAGTCACATCTGTTTACCTGGAAGAAAGGTGGGCTCTGTTACAGCAGTCCTTGGGTTATTCCCCTCTTCTGAGGACAACAGCATGCCAAATCCATGATTTTGATTACAGTAGTAGGAGCAGATCAAATATGGATTCTTTTTTTTACCAAGGCCAAACAAGCCTGTAGCTGTCTCATTGCTGTCTCCCCTGCACAGGAGTCTGTGCTGTTTGTGTGAATGCAGGTTCTTTCAGGCCATTAGCTGCAGATGAGTTTTGTGGGATACTCAGAATCCTGACTGTATTTGTTCCTGGGTGTTTAGCTTCCTACAAGTAATCTTAGCTTCTACCTTTACTCAGGTGGCCTTAGCAGAACCAGTTTGATTGTCCCATTAGTGCCCCTTTCTTCTGTAGCTGCATGAGGTGGAGGGAGGGTTGTGCTTTGAATGTATCTATTGTGTGCAGGGCAGCCTTGGGGAGAGGAACTGGGCACCAAACAAATGGGAAAGCTGCAGGAAGAGACAGGACACCTTTAGGGAGAAATGGGCTTTGCTTCCCTCTTGTTAAGTGATAAATGTGCTGCCTACCCTGACATTTTGGAGCAATCACCATGTAGGATGCACTGACTGCGAAGGGATTCTCCAGGTCTGCAGGACAGTGTCCTTCCTAGGGCCAAATGTGACCAGGCTTCTCAGTCTCTTTTTGACCAGGGTGCCATGTTGTCTTCCAGGCTGACTGCTTTTCAAATGACATCCATAAATTGGACACCACAAACATGATGTGGACCTTAATCTCTGCCAAGGTCAGTGTCAGCTTTTCACTCTGGTTTGTGGAAGAAGCCTCAAATCTGCTATTCTCTGGGGCAGCTGCCTATGCTGATCTCACAGATTCTGTGTGGTGTGCTTGGGATCTGCAGGAGGGGAAGTTCTCCAGGAGAAGACAGGCCCCAATCTTCCCCATCAAGATGTGTCATCTCCCTCTGTCATCTGCATTCTTTCCCTTTTTCTGTTTTACCTTGTCCCTGCAGGGTACACCAGCTCGCTGGAGAGACTTCCATTCAGCTACCATCATTGGGACAAAGATGTACGTGTTTGGTGGCAGAGCTGATCGTTTTGGGCCATTTCACTCCAACAATGAGATCTACTGCAACCGCATTAAAGTATTTGATACAGAAACAAACTCCTGGCTGGACTCTCCTCCAACTCCAGTACTTCCTGAAGGCCGGCGGAGCCATTCAGCCTGTGAGTGTGGGTCTGCTGAGGGAGGAGGACAGTGGAAGGAAGTTGCCAGCTGCCTCAGAGGGGATGTCTGGTCTGCTGGGTGGAGATGTGGGTTAGCATGGGGTTCATAGAGCCTGGCTTCTGTAGATGGCTGCCACCCACCAAGAAGCCTCACACATAGCCCTGCACATGAAGATTACAAAAGCGACAGTGGACAATCCACGCCACCTTGCTTTGTGTTTGTTGTTGGGACAGGGACTTGCTGGGCACTGCCTTAGGTGGTGCACTGATGTCTATGCTTACTCCCCACAGTCAGCTACAATGGAGAGCTATATGTGTTTGGTGGCTACAATGCACGCCTGAACAGACACTTCCACGACCTCTGGAAATTCAATCCAGGTATTTATGCCTTTAACTTGTTGTGGTGTTAGTGCTCAAGGCCCTCGAGTCTGCTAGTGCTCAGATGAGCTTACTCTCCAAGAACAAGGAGCCTGTGTGGAGGGAAATGGCTCTTCTGACAGCACTGACAGGAACTCATTACTCTGGGACTCTTGTTCCTCCTCAGACTGTCTCCAACTCTCAGTTAGAAAATGGAAAAGGAAATATTGTTGAAAGACACAGCTAATCAAAGGGTGGTTAGCAGACCATTGTCCTGTTTTTAAATATGCAGAAGTGTTAGCAGATAAGAAGATATGGGGAAGAAATGGAGTTAGGGGAGCAAGAGACCGTAGCTGAGCAAACAGCTCAACCATAACCCTACCACACTCTCTTGATACCAAATCAGACTGTGAAGCAGAAGGGATGATTCTTAAGCTGATATCCTGAATATCAGTCAACTGTGAGCTGTTTTGGGGTCCTTGGTCCTCAGGCACTTTTCACAGTCCATTAGACTGATTTTGTTTTGTTAGTTGCTTTACATAGTAAAGTTACCTGAGAGCAGCCAACTTTGTGCTCCCCAGGCTGATCTGAGCTAGTGTGAGAGAGCTCCTGAAGGTTTCCGTGCTGTGCATTAGTGTTTAATCATCCCCCAGTATCCTTGTCACAGAGAGCAGCGAGGACAAAGGCTGCTGTTTTCTCTGCCTGGTTCAGTTCCTCATGCTCCCACAACTAGGCTGTCCCAGCAGTCTTTGTTCTGCGAGGATGCTCTGCATTCAGCGTGGCTGCCAGCAGATGGAGCTTGTTCCTGGATCTCCTTCCTGATCTGGATCGCAACAGGGCGCTGAGGAAAAGAGGCTGCCTGCCTTGTCCTGGAGCTCTGCCCTGTACAAGCTCCCTGTGATGTCCAACCTGCTGCCGTGGCAGCCCGTGGATCCTGGCACGCAGGCTATGCACGTGAAATGCCTTGTCCTGCAGTCAGAGCGCCAGGGCTGTGCCTGTCATTTAAGTGACACTTCAGCAACAACCTCATAGAAGTACCTAATTTTGTTGCTAGTAGAAGAGATGGGCAGGGAGGGTGGATGTTGGCCAGTTGGTGGCTGTGGGGCAGTTGGCCTCTGGTTTTGCTGTGATCTGTTTAAATCTATAACCTGCTTATACCTGGGTCTTGGCCAGGCTCTTGCAACAAGCTGGTGCACTCTTTTTCCACCCCTTAGTTTCTCTTTCTTGGAGGAAGATTGAGCCCAAGGGGAAAGGCCCATGTCCTCGACGCCGGCAGTGCTGCTGCAGAGTGGGGGACAGAATTATTCTTTTTGGAGGCACCAGGTGAGTTGTGTGGGGTGGCTCTGTGACAGGGTTTGTCATTTCCTTCAACAGAGTGTCCTTCCATGCCTTGGCACGTGCTGTAGCCATATGTACTTTAGGGGCACATGGCAAATATCCATCTACCTTAGAAGTGCAAGAAGTCATTGTAGAACAGGGCTCTTCTGGAAAAAGGCCAAGGAAGAGGTTGAAGATGTCATGTAAGCTTGTAAAGCACCTGGTGACAAGCCTTCTTGTACAAGTAAAGGCAGAAGTATGTAATGCAGTTCAGGAGGGGTTGTGCAGTGGTTACGCTTTCTGTGGAATAGGTGGTGGGGAGGGAGGAGGAGGTCCTGCCATCAGAGGGATAAGTCTCTAGTCTCCTGTGCTGCAACATATCTCAGACTGACCTAACCTCCCCTACATGCTGCTCTGCTTCTCCCACCAGAGTTTTTCTTTCACTGGCAGGTGTGGTGTCCAAACCTGCAGTGGCATGTCAGCTCAGCTGGGAGCTGTTTGAGGAGCCCATACATATGTCAAAGCAACATTTCTTTCCATGCCAGTATTCCTTAGGAAAATCACAAAAGGGACCTGGTGTTAAAGATTTAGCTGTCAAACACTGGCAGTGATACTGTCAGGGTGCAGGGCAGCTGGATGTGGCCTTAATAGCTGCTAAAAGAAAGGAAGTGGCCCATCAACAGGACATGCTCTCTGCTGTCTGGAATGACAAATTGCAGCTCTGGAGCACAGGCCTGTTTGCCAGCATCTACCTTGCAGACATCTGAAAAACTTTCAGCCCTCCACATGCTTTGGAAAGCTTTGGGGCATTCTGTGGAACCCTGGCAGTGGCTTTTTGTTGATACTTCTGGAGACAGAGGGCTGGGGGCAGAAGACAAGGCAGGGCAGGTTCTGCTAATGAGCTGACTATACCAGAGTGTGATGGAGGGAAGGGCCTTCTGGCCTCTGGAGTGCTGGGGGTGTGTGCTTAGTTGTTGGAGATCTGTGTGGACATGGCGTGCTTAGTGCAGGTGAGTTATGCTGAAGGCTTTGTAGGACTTCATGGTAGTGTTGGATGATCTCAGATGCTGACACGTGGATTTGTGTTACAGCAGCAGCTGCACTCTGATGTTAAACCTGTGCACCCCTAGGAAATACTAGCAACCACAACAAATTTGACACCAGCTTTTTGGAGTTTGGTCCACCTCTGCCAGGCAATGCAGCAGTGCCTTGTCTTGTCCACCCAAAAACTTCAGTATTCAGCTTATTCCTTAATCCAGGCTCAACCCCAATCTAGGCCACTTCATCAACAGTAGTTTGGGATAGGAAGAGCTACTGGCAGCCAGGAGTGCAGCTTGCTTGGGCTGGATGGAGGATCTTGCAGGCTGGGGAAGGGAGAGACAAACACAACGGTGAGGACTGTGCTCACTTCCTGTAACAGTTATCAGGTGTTTTCTGGAGCTGCCTGGCGAGATAACAAGTTTTCCAGGAAGCTGTTGTAATGGAGAACTCCCTGTGGTCTGTCTTCTGACCTGTGACCCCCTGCCTGGGAAGGAAGGGGGGGAAGCACACAGTGCAGGGATCCATCAGGGCTCCTTGGAGGATGAGCCAGCAGGCTCAGCTTGCTAGGCTGCAGCACCTGGGGATGGGTGCTCCCTTCCCTTGCAGAATTTACTGTAGACTTTTCAAGAGGCACATCTACAGGCTGCCTGCTGCTGTGGCATCCAGATGTTTAGTTTCTTTGTAGTCCTGCACAGAGCATGGTCTTTTTCCCCAGCCGTTGTTTCTCACCACAGCCAGCAGCAATCCAGTCACTTGTGTCCCATTTAAGTGCCTAGGAAGTCCTGTAGCACTAAGCTCAGTGCTCCCGTTACCTATGTCATAGTTGCATCCCTGGTCTGGTTTCCACCCAAACCCACCAGCACTTCAGCATTCAGAGACCATCCACAAAGGAGAATGAGAGAGAGAGGGAATTATATAAAACAGAGTTTAGCCGAACAGATGCCAGTCTGGGTTTGGCTTGAAGGCATGTTTTCCATGACAAGGCTTAGAAATGCCAGGCTCTGATGAGGAAATAGGGGCTCTCACTGGGTGCTTGGTGCAGGGTCCAGGAGCATTCACCAACATGACAAGTTGTGATTGTTGGAATGTAGTTTTGCTGGGCTCTGGCTGGAAAAAAGGTGCCCTGCACCCTGCTGTCTGGGAGTTGTAACTCTTCTGATCTTGACCTCCAGGCTTTCCTTAGCTGCTTGCACTTTGGTGATTAACACCACAGACATGGTGCCTGCTCGCTTTTCTTTGAAAGATAAGGGATGGTCTAGGGTTTCCTGTGACGTGGATGTGAGATTAGATTGTGGTGTGGTAAGCACACAGGGCCGGAATTAAAGGGGCTCTTGCCTGTATCTGGGCAGATGGGACCAATCAGCAGCAGGTCTTATCTGCCAGTGGTGAGCTATGCCCTGTAGTTTGTGCTGGCTTTATGGGAACCTGGAGGGGTCAGGTACTGTCTCATGTCCTCTGAGGTGTGAAGCTTAGTGGGTCACAGATGGGGAAGCAAGTGACCCTGGGGTGAGAAGTCACTGCATAAGATCCTAGTTAAGCAGTGAGGACATGCTAAGTTGCCTTGTCACAAACCAAACTGGGACTTAAAACACCTTTCTGTTATTTCAAATTACCCAAACAACCATCAGCTATTGGAGTGCTTTCCCCTGGTCCAAGTACAGACTGTCCTCTCTGTGCTAGCGGATGTGGTGACCAGTCTCTCAGGTGCTTTGGCTGTTCTAACAAGACCACAGACCATAGGTGAAGATGTCTGTTCCCTAAAAATGCCTGAAGTCATAGCTACTCACTAGCATTCCAGGACCAACATCAGATAGGACTATCAGCAAATTGGGATTGGCTTAAAATTATTGCTGCACTGATCAGTGCCTGACATGTACCCAGTTATAGTCTTCTGAAATGCTGTCCCCCTTTTGACACTGCCAGGAAGCTGTGGCTGGAGCCCATAGTGATTCCTGCAGTCAGAGAAATGTCTGTACTTGCACTGCCATGCAGATGTTTCCTAGCAGCTTTCTCTACATTTCTCTTATAACATCTCAATGGCCATGCTGAAATTATTCAGTGTGTGGCTGGGCAGAATCTGTTTCAAACCTTGTGCTTTGTGCTTGGTACACAACTTCAGCTCATGCAGCAGAACTCAAAAGCAGTCCAGCTGCTGGCCTTAGGAATATGACCTAAGAAAATACAGAGTTCTTTGGCCTACAGGTTGCTAATCTGTGAGCTCTTGCTGGGGAGTTTGTACTAATGCAGTGGGCACATCTGACTGTTGCAGACAAGGAGGGAAAAAGCTGCCACTAAGCCAGGTGAAGATCTCTGTGTCTGCTTCAGATGCTTATTCTCTGCTGCTGCCTTCACTCCTCTGTAGAAAAAGTTGAACTTCTGAAAAGCACCTTCCATATTGTCCTCAGAGGAAACAGCTTGGCTTGTCACACCCTGGTCTGCTGCACTGCCAAGGCAGTGTGGTGTGGTGTAGTGCATGCTGCCTCTGTGCCTGCAGCATCAGAGCTCCAGAGAGCTTACAGACAGGAGAATCTAGCTCACGGGTTTCCATGGCATGGCTCATGAGTCACATATGGCAGTCTGCAGGTGTTTCATGCAGCCCTGGGAAGCTAGAGCTAGGGTGATCTGGGAGAGTACAGCAGCTGCCTGTGGGATGTGGCTCCTTTTATTGTCTCTCCAGGTTGCAGAAAATTTGGATGGTCACTAGCTACTTGCTGAGTGTGCCACCATCTCTGGAGACAGGTCATGGTTCCTATGACCTGCAGCCCTGCAGCACAACTGGAGCACCTTGCAAAAAAGTCCTCTTGGGTCTCCAGCTTCCCTCGCCTACCTCACTGGGGACACCAGCACAGCTTTTTGGACATTATGTTGTGCAATTCTGTGCTGCCTGATTCTTTCTAGACAGCTGACTGTCCCACATGATGTTCTCCCAAATCCTTGCACTTCTTATTTTGTGCCTCCCCACTTGGCTGTGAGATGAAGCTGGCCTGAGGTCTGTAAAACACAGTGTGGACTGTGTCATACTGCTCCATGCAGTGTTTGGGGCCAGGTAGGGATGAGCTGACTCTTTGCCTGCCCAGGCAGTTTGATCTGTATGTGTTCCCTAACGTGTTACTAGGGCAGCTTTCCATGATGCAGCATTGCTGTGAAGCTGGCTAGTGTCCAGCCCTGCACTGGGTTTTCCAGGTGATGCCAGCCTGCCTGGCCCTGCTTGCTGTGGGGCAGCCTGTGGGGCCTGTTTATCACAAAAAAAACAGGACAGATGCTTGTACAAACACATCTGCCTTCAGGAGATGCTGTAACATCCCTTCTTCAGCCTGCTCAGTCATCCTCAGCATTGTTGCAGGGCTCAGCTTTGCCTTTCTAAGTGGAGCTCTTTGGAGGATCTGAACCACTGAAATTGCAGAGTGAGTAGAGCCCTGAAACAAGCATCAGCTGTTTGCCAACACCCTCCTCATGCCCAGAGGGTGGGTGCCATAGTTCTAGGGGATGCCCAGTTGTTGGAAAGCAGTTTGGGAGGTACCTGGAGAAGGAAGAGTGTGAAAGAGCCAGAGGCTGGTCGATGTACAAGAAGGGAAAAGGGATGTTCTATGCAGAGTGAGACCTGTACGTGGAGGTACAGCAAAGTAACAGAGGCAGGTGAGGTGAGAGGGATGCTCACAGCTGGAGTCACTGTGGCCATGTGTGAGAAGGAAGCAGCTCCCCCCTTCCCCTGCTATGGTTTCCAGAGGAGATGGTGTGTTTTTGGCCCAGTTGCTGGAGCTGGGCCAGCAAGGTGGGCCTGGCTCTGTGCATCTCTGCCTGCTCTGTGAGGAGCCAGGAGAGCAATGGCTTTGGGTGCTGCTGGGGGAAGCAAAAGGACAGGAGGGATCAGAAGGTCCCAGCATGGGGCAGGCAGGCCAGGAACTGTCTTGACCTTGCTCAGCCCTTGGGGAGTCCAAGGGACCATAACTGATGTACAAGAATTTTGACACTGGCTGACATGCTTTCCTTGGCTTCTGCAGCCCGTCTCCAGAGGAGGGAATGGGTGATGAATTTGACCTGATGGATCACTCGGATCTCTACATCCTTGACTTCAGTACGTGAGCATCCCCTGCCCAGCTGGTACCACTAACCACAAGCTGCTCTGTGAGCAGGCCCGGCTGTGAAGCACCATACTGTGTCCTACATGGTTCCAGGTGCCTGCCTCTCTGAGTCAGGCACCTGTCTCTGGCTGGCTCTGCTTCAGGCAGACTAGCCAGAGATGCAACTGTGCTTGCAGGCCTGAGCTGAGTTCATGGCTCTTCATGCTCTCCTTTCACAGAATCACAGAATCCTAGGGGTTGGAAGGGACCTCGAAAGATCATCGAGTCCAACCCCC